TATGAGATCGCAATTGGATATTGTTAAGAGAGGTGTTCATATTGTCGTTTTTCTCCATTAGGATTTACAAGAATCCCTGCACTCCCCATAATGTTCCATGTTTATGGATTGTCAATACTATTCTTGGTTTCTATAATGTTCAAATTTCAATATTATGAGTTAATGAATACTTTTAAAGATCTTAACAAAAGAAATATCCATAAACTAAGATCATGCCTGAAGTGAAAGATGATGATAAATGACCAATAGAGGAGCAGAAGTACACCTGTCTGCCATTCATGGACATGTATGACATCAGGTTGTGTTCCAGTTACCTGCATTTTGGTCAATGGATTCTTAAAAAATAATCATATAAGATAGTTTGATGATGGAAAACATGGAAATAAAAAAGGTTTAACAAATTATCTTCTTAAGCACAATATAAATAGGTTGATGAAGAGTAAGCTACAAACCTGCATCCATTGAAGGCAAGCACGACTGAAAAATAAATAAGCCTCCAATTCATTGTAAGAGCCTCCATATACATCTTCCCCTTTAAAGAATTGCTTCATTGGTTCCAAAAGTATAACTGGAATGCCAGATACCATTCTAGAGTATGCATTAGTTTCAATCCAGTTTCGTCATAATATGAGTTATAAGTAGACATTAATGACAATTCTTGTAAATTCAATGATAAAAAATAAAAAATGCTCAAAATTATTACCTCTATCAGGATCTGTTTCCTTACCTGGACATTATCACAGTAAGAAAATAAAAATAAGAAAATAAAAAAGTAAAAAGTAGGAAAATTTAATACCAAACACTGTTATAGCATTTGTATAGAATGATTTTGTAAAACAATTTGGTGTAATTACCCTGCTAATGCTACCACAACAAGATAGAACAACATGCTAATAATAATAAATCCCCTGCAAACAAACATAAGAAGATTGTTATGTTCATGTAACAAGTGACATTCATAAGAAATCACAAGTATTAAACACTTGCTAAGTAGTTTATGGGGTTTTTTTTTAAATAAAATGAATTGAAGTGTAACCTGTGATGTAGCAGTTCTAAGAAGAGAAGGCTTATGGTCACCATATAGTCCTCCAAGACCTTCACTTCTTATAACCTGTTGTGAAAAGATAAGGGATTGAAGCTAATATGTTAATAAGTTTGAATGTAGAGAACATGATCCAGTACTACATAATCAATACAACTTATCTCTGAATTCAAGGATATACAGTTGGTCTTGTATAAAGTTCATGCAATTGCTTAAGTAAACAACACTTCATAATAACAAAGAGGATCCTTTCATATATCGCTCAAACATCTTATGGAATTTGGTATTCAAGGCAAGAAAAAATTGAATTTCTAGGCTACTTTGATGGTAATTGGGGAGGTGCATAAGGAGATATAAAGATTACAAATGAAAATTATTTCATTATTGGATTGTGATCATAGAAAGCAAAACAGTTTTATGATGAAAAGAAGACAAACATGTAGCATTTAAATAAGCGTATCACCAGACGAATAGGAAGCAGACAAAGAGAGTAAAAGGGAAAGAATAAGTGATTCTTGGGTGTAAGACATAAAAGTACTGTTATTTGATCATATTTTATAACGTATTTTATAACGTATGCTCTAAAATTTGATATAATCATTATTTTTCACTCTTGTATGCTGCAATGAAGGACGTAATATGATTCTTGGGTGTAAGACATAAAAGTACTGTTTGAAGGAGTAGTGAAAAAGTAGCTAATATATATTCGATAAAAAAACTTACATTTTATAAAAATTAATTGGTAAGCTAGGTCGAAAATATAATTGACATATAAAAGTATATGAAAAATTATGTTTATTATAGTTAATATAAGAGAGAATTTTAAAAAAAGCTCTTTAACCTAATTGAAAAGTTACTCCAAAAAGCTAAAAAAATATGAAAAATAAGTAGTTTATAAGGAAGGCAGTTAGTGTGCCAAACCTAGCTAAAGTTACAAAATGAGGATGTGATATATATATATATATATATATATATATATATATATATATATATATATATATATATATATATAGTAGCGAAAAGCATGAACACTGTTATTTTGATGAAAACGCTGAAAACATTGGCCTTATGTAATTCCCATTTAATTTTGAAGATGATAAATTGCAATATTAGAAAAAACATAAACACGTGCATGGTTTATTTTTATATTAGTTTTATTGGTCCCAATTTGCGATAAATTATAGGTAACATGAAAGTAGCGTTTACAGGAGATCCAGACGTTCAAAGAAACAGTCAAAAAGAGTACACTTGTTGTTTGCTAATCTATAATATAATTTAGAGTACGGTAGAAATTAACGACAATGAACAAATAGACAAATTAAGTTCCATAAACCAGCTCCTAGTTTTAAATTAATATTCCAAATAATAATTGAAGATGCCATCTAAAATATGAATAACCAAACAAGCACATTTACATTTGCCTCTTCATTGTTAACATATAAAATAGCCAGATGTTATTATGTAGTTGCTATCTTGAACTCAGAAAAAATAGGAAGAAGGCTTCATGGGTTCCATACAAAAGAAACCACATGCCTTGTGCTTACCAGCCCCAGCACAAGGCCATATTAACCCCATGCTAAAAGTTGCTAAGATCTCCACTCCAAAGGCTTTCATATAACCTTCGTTAACACCGAGTTCAACCATCAACGACTCGTCAAATCTCAGGGCTCCGACGCCCTAAATGGCCTCCCTTCCTTCTGCTTCGAGACCATTCCTGATGGCCTTCCGCCGCCACAGAACCCGATGAAACCCAAGTTTTCCCAACCTTATGGAAATCCATGGATGAAACTTGTCTGGCTCCGTTTAAAAGTCTGCTTACGAAATTGAATGCTTCATCTTCACCGGTGACTTGCATAGTTGCAGACTTATTCATGGGCTTCACCCTCGATGCAGCCAAAGAACTTGATATCCCCGAGATAGTCCTATGGACCAGCGGTGTTAGTGCTCTAATGTGTGTTCATGAGCAGAACAATCTATTGGAGAGAGGTTTGGTGCCACGTGAAGGTAATATATATACTTAATTTCACTAATTTGTTAAGGATATGAAATACTTATATGTATACGTGTATACATACATACATTCATGTACGTATACACTGTATTTGCTTATTTGAAAGTAAGTTCTTTATGTTTTCTTTCCACAGCGTCCAGTGTATTAGCAAATGATCATTTAGATACCATGATTGATTGTGTACCAACCATGTCTGGTATGCGTCTAAAACACTTGCCTTCATTCGTTAGAAAGACCAGCCCTGGTGATGAATACATGCTTGAAGGTTTATGTTTACAAGCAGAGAGAGCAAAAAGAGCTTCTGCCATCATCTTCAACACCTTTTATGAACTAGAAAGCGACCTTTTGGATGCGCTTTCTTCAGTCTTTCCTCCATGCTACGGTGTTGGTCCGTTTAAGTTACTAGAGAAGGAAAGTGATGAATCTGTAGAGTTCATCAAATCAAATCTTTGGAAAGAAGAGAACACCTGTTTGAAATGGCTAGAATCTAAACCAAAATCATCGGTTATTTATGTGAATTTTGGTAGCACAACAGTGATGTCACATCAATATCTGCTTGAGTTCTGTTGGGGACTTGCAAAGAGCAATTGTCCGTTCTTATGGATAATACGTCCAGATCTTGTGGATGGCAAATCTGCCGTGCTTCCACCAGAGTTTTTGGAAGAGACAAGCAGCAGAGGGATGTTGGCTAGTTGGTGCCCACAAGAACAAGTTCTATATCACCCATCAATTGGAGGATTTCTAACGCACAGTGGATGGAATTCGACAATTGAAAGTATTTCCAGTGGAGTCCCAATGATTTGTTGGCCGTTTTTTGCTGACCAACTAACCAACTGCTGGTGGTGTTGCAACAAGTGGGAGATTGGCATGGAGCTTGACACTGATGTAAAGAGAGAAGAAGTTTCCAAGCTAGTCATTGAATTGATGAATGGAGACAAAGGGAAAGAAATGAGGACAAATGCAATCGACTTGAAGTACAAGGCCCAAAAAGCATGTACCTCTCCTTTTGGTTCATCCATTGTTAACTTGGGGAAAGTAATTCATCTCCTACAAGGATCTCCAAGTAATTAATTATTTTCTTAACATGCATGTGAGTTTATGATTATATTATCCTATGTACCATTTGTTTGCTCAAAAAAAGATCGGTGGTTTGTTGTTGATGTAATTTCATTCACATACCGTATTTAATCTTCAAGATGAAAAAAATGAGAGTTCTTGCTATTGATGTGAGGTTTATGTAATATCATTCTTTTGCGTTCAGAATCCATTGAAATTTTGACTTGTGTGGATTGTCATATCATCAATTAAATATCTATACAACTTTCTATAAGATATTAAACATCTATTCAATCATAATAATCACTTTATTGTGTGTATTTTGAACATTGAAGAATCATTCAAATCTTAACTCCACTTCATGTCATCACTCATTAAATAGTTATTTAATCCTAGTCAACATCTTTAACTTGCAATCACTACAAGAAATGGGACCTATAGGGACGAAAAATGTCGTCTCTATAGGTTAAAAAGGTCGTTCCTATAGGTGTCGGGAGCAACATGTCGTCCCTATAGCTTTTGTCTACATAGCCCCGTCGCAATAGATCCTTTTGGTCGTCGCGATAAATATCATCGCTATAGGTATCCTTTAAAGACAACATGTCGTCTTGTTCTGGTTCGTCGCTATACGGTGCTGGTCTCCATAGACGAAACTATAGAGACGACGTGTCGTCTCTATAGGTGTATCTATAAAGACAACATGTTGTCTCCATAGATAGAGATGTAGAGTTGACACATCATACCCTTTAGTAACAAGTGTTCGTTGTGGTAGATGCTCTATTAGAGATGCTATGTCGTCTCTATAGATGCACCTATACAGATGACATGTAGTCTATAGAGATGACATGTCGTCTCTATAGACGATGTACCTTTCCTATATACTGTAAATCAACCTTTTCCACCTTCCCATTCATAAATGTTAATCCACCCACACTAACTGCAAACCTTACAAGGTTCCCTATATTCAGTCCTGTCAAAAAAACACAAAATCCAAATGAATAAAAAAACTTTATTAACTGAAATATTTTTAAACAATAATTACACAAACCTCTTGTGTAAAACCTGCATTCAAGCAACCAAGTACAACCGGAGGATCATCAGATGTAACCAGTTCCCCATTTTATTATATCTCCAAAACCACCTTCTCATTTATAAGCATTAAAAAAAATCAATGAAGGGTAAATTATGAAAATAGCAACATATTGAAATGAAGCATATTGTTATAATGGGTAAGAAATTGTAACTACTTGCTGTTAATTTGGAATATGTCCTTTGTTATCTGTATCAATGACATACTCACTACAAGTCTTATCCTTCCAACAAGTGCTAATGGTGTATTTCCTATTTCATAGTGTGCATGTCTATATATAATAAACAAAAAAAAACCCCATCAAAAATATTAATGAAATATCTTTAATGAATTAACAAAGAAGCTTACGTGTCATAATTGCATATTTCCTTGTTTAAATTTGTATGCTTTGTTTTGTATTCACATATTTTAAGACTTGCTCGTGGGCTTGGAGATTTTTTGCTTATTGGGATTCATACAGACCAAACTGTGAGGTAGAAGAGTCTCTTAAATACTTTGTTGCAGCCACTAAAATTTAAGCAAATGCCTAAAATACCCCTGCACCAATAACAAATAAGATTATGTATATTTTTTTGATTTCCCATTTCTATAATGCTTGATTGCAGTGGATGCATAGTGGAAGACTTAATCATTTGACATTTTGAGAAATCCATTATAAGATTATTAAGCCTTTTGCAAATAAAATATCCATAAGGGACTTGCCTTGTATAAGCTGTTTGGAGGCTAAATCTATATCTATGGTAAGTAGATGGATCCTCACAAGCTCCTCACTTAACAAGCTTGTTGTTCATCCAAAAAAGAAAAAAAAGAGAAAAACCAACCTCCAAAAACAACAAGGTCATATTTGACATCCAAGGAGTCGAAAATTTCCCAAGATGCCACCTGAAAATTTCCCACCAAGCTGCCACCTGTTGTTTAGTAAAACCGCTTAGTAATTTAAAATATGAAAACTTGTATGTAACACCCAAAGTTTCGAAGGCCAAGAAAGGAAAGAAAAGCCCTAATTTAAGGGTAGACTCGGCGAGTTCAAGGAGGGACTCGGCGAGTCCGAGCGGGATCCGGGTTGAGGAGTAAGCGACCGACTCGGCGAGTCGGCCAAGGTGACTCGGTGAGTCTGGTTTGAACGAGGGAAAACCCTAATCCCGGGAGTTGTATCCTATTTAAAGGGTGTTATGTCCCTCCCTCATCCCCCATACAACCCTAGAGAGCCAGTGCACCCTTGATTTCGTGAGAGCTTCCATCATTTTGAGAGTTAAAGCTTGGAGGAAGGAACTTTGGGGAAAGGAACTTGAAGGGCAAGTAGGTTGCTTTAAGGAGGAGGTGTAGAAGAATGTCTCAAAACGCATGTGATGGTGTCAGAAAACAATGGCATATCATTGTTGATGGTGATGAAATCCCTCCACCAATCAAAAACTTTAAAGACATGAGATTCCTGGATCCTGTTTTGAAAAAATGAAAGAAAAAGGAATAGTACAACCAACACCTATTCAAGTTCAAGGATTACCCATGATTCTATCTAGAAGGGACATGAATGGAATAGCATTTACAGGGTCTGGAAAAACATTGGTGTTTGTATTTCCATTGATTATGATGGCATTACAGGAGGAGATTATGATGCCAATTGCAGCAGGGGAAGGACCTTTTGGGTTGATTATTTTCCCTTCTAGAAAGCCGGCTAGACCGACATTTGAGGTTGTGGAAGAGTTTTTGGTACCCTTGAGGGAATTTGGATTTCCAGAAATTAGACCCTTGCTTTGTATTGGAGCTGTCGATATGAGATCGCAATTGGATATTGTTAAGAGAGGTGTTCATATTGTCGTTTTTCTCCATTAGGATTTACAAGAATCCCTGCACTCCCCATAATGTTCCATGTTATGGATTGTCAATACTATTCTTGGTTTCTATAATGTTCAAATTTCAATATTATGAGTTAATGAATACTTTTAAAGATCTTAACAAAAGAAATATCCATAAACTAAGATCATGCCTGAAGTGAAAGATGATGATAAATGACCCAATAGAGGAGCAGAAGTACACCTGTCTGCCATTCATGGACATGTATGACATCAGGTTGTGTTCCAGTTACCTGCATTTTGGTCAATGGATTCTTAAAAAATAATCATATAAGATAGTTTGATGATGGAAAACATGGAAATAAAAAAAGGTTTAACAAATTATCTTCTTAAGCACAATATAAATAGGTTGATGAAGAGTAAGCTACAAACCTGCATCCATTGAAGGCAAGCACGACTGAAAAATAAATAAGCCTCCAATTCATTGTAAGAGCCTCCATATACATCTTCCCCTTTAAAGAATTGCTTCATTGGTTCCAAAAGTATAACTGGAATGCCAGATACCATTCTAGAGTATGCATTAGTTTCAATCCAGTTTCGTCATAATATGAGTTATAAGTAGACATTAATGACAATTCTTGTAAATTCAATGATAAAAAATAAAAAATGCTCAAAATTATTACCTCTATCAGGATCTGTTTCCTTACCTGGACATTATCACAGTAAGAAAATAAAAATAAGAAAATAAAAAAGTAAAAAGTAGGAAAATTTAATACCAAACACTGTTATAGTATTTGTATAGAATGATTTTGTAAAACAATTTGGTGTAATTACCCTGCTAATGCTACCACAACAAGATAGAACAACATGCTAATAATAATAAATCCCCTGCAAACAAACATAAGAAGATTGTTATGTTCATGTAACAAGTGACATTCATAAGAAATCACAAGTATTAAACACTTGCTAAGTAGTTTATGGGGTTTTTTTTAAATAAAATGAATTGAAGTGTAACCTGTGATGTAGCAGTTCTAAGAAGAGAAGGCTTATGGTCACCATATAGTCCTCCAAGACCTTCACTTCTTATAACCTGTTGTGAAAAGATAAGGGATTGAAGCTAATATGTTAATAAGTTTGAATGTAGAGAACATGATCCAGTACTACATAATCAATACAACTTATCTCTGAATTCAAGGATATACAGTTGGTCTTGTATAAAGTTCATGCAATTGCTTAAGTAAACAACACTTCATAATAACAAAGAGGATCCTTTCATATATCGCTCAAACATCTTATGGAATTTGGTATTCAAGGCAAGAAAAAATTGAATTTCTAGGCTACTTTGATGGTAATTGGGGAGGTGCATAAGGAGATATAAAGATTACAAATGAAAATTATTTCATTATTGGATTGTGATCATAGAAAGCAAAACAGTTTTATGATGAAAAGAAGACAAACATGTAGCATTTAAATAAGCGTATCACCAGACGAATAGGAAGCAGACAAAGAGAGTAAAAGGGAAAGAATAAGTGATTCTTGGGTGTAAGACATAAAAGTACTGTTATTTGATCATATTTTATAACGTATTTTATAACGTATGCTCTAAATTTGATATAATCATTATTTTTCACTCTTGTATGCTGCAATGAAGGACGTAATATGATTCTTGGGTGTAAGACATAAAAGTACTGTTTGAAGGAGTAGTGAAAAAGTAGCTAATATATATTCGATAAAAAAACTTACATTTTATAAAAATTAATTGGTAAGCTAGGTCGAAAATATAAATTGACATATAAAAGTATATGAAAAATTATGTTTATTATAGTTAATATAAGAGAGAATTTTAAAAAAAGCTCTTTAACCTAATTGAAAAGTTACTCCAAAAAGCTAAAAAAATATGAAAAATAAGTAGTTTATAAGGAAGGCAGTTAGTGTGCCAAACCTAGCTAAAGTTACAAAATGAGGATGTGATATATATATATATATATATATATATATATATATATATATATATATATATATATATAGTAGCGAAAAGCATGAACACTGTTATTTTGATGAAAACGCTGAAAACATTGGCCTTATGTAATTCCCATTTAATTTTGAAGATGATAAATTGCAATATTAGAAAA